TACAAAGTAGTTATGATAGATATACAGCTACTTTCCCTTACTTCAGTGAGAGGAAAGATTTGCACTAATAGTGTTTGGCCAGCCCTCATGTCTGCATCTTATACTATGAATAACTACTATGAAGACAACAACATGCAATGTATTAGTTATTGTAACTGTCCTATTAACCTGTTTTGAAACTGTCTCATTGCTATTTCTTTCTCAAGAAAATTAATTTTTTAAAAAAATTAAACAGACAAAAGCATAAAAGGACAAAAATAACTAAACTAAGCAGAAGAAAAAATGTGAAAAGTTGAGATGATTAGTTACAGAAATCTTTCTTACCCTGCAAAACTTTAGAGATTTTAACCCTTTATTTGCTAATTTTAAGCAAATATTTTAACTATGTTATTGTTTCCCAGGTAATTTTGACTGCAGCTGAATGCTAGCAGTAGGTCAGGGAAGGGAAGGTTGAGTGCATTGCAGTTGTATTTGTTTTATAATAAACTTCACCTCAGAAAAGTTTTTGAGGAGACGAAAAGTTGTATGAGAGACAGCAACCATTTCCCTTTCATTTCACTTTCCTGAATGTTGACAACACAGTACATTTGCCCATACTAAGCAATTAGCTTTGAAGCTGGCAAGACAACTCAGCGGGCTAAAGTGTGTGCTTAGGCAAGCTTAGGCAAGCGCAGGGACAATGGTTCAATCCCTGGCACCACATGCTGTGCCATCCCTGCCCCCAGGGCAGGCTGAGCAAGCCAGAGTCCGGGCATTGTGGTGCATGCCTGTAATCCCAGCACTTGGGGTCTGAAAACAGGAGAATCGCTATGAATCTGAGCTGCATAGTGAGACCCTGTAACAACCACATACATCAATTAAAAAATAATTTTGCCATTATCCTATTGTTTTTGTCACTTTTCTTCATTGCTAGGACAAAACACCTGGCCCCTTCAACTTAAGGAGAGGTTTATTCTGTCTCTGGCTTTAGTTTTAGACGTTGTAGTCTTGCTCTGGTGGAATGGCAGGAGGTAGAAGCGCCACAGCAGAAGGGGTGGGAGAAAGACAACTGCTCACCTCACAGCTCACAGAAAACAGAGTCAAGTGAGGAGGAGGCAGAGCAGGTATGTCTTTTCTGCACATGCCCACAGTAACCCTACCTCCTGTCAGCAAACAAGCCAGAATACCTCCATGATCCCATCACCTTGTGAGCAGACGAGGCTGTGGAGGGCATTTTAGGTCAAAGCCATAACTATTAACAAAACTATAGGCTTTTTTCTCATTTCAGTAGTATTTCCATTACTAGTATAGCTTTCCTGTTTTATGATCAAGTCACTGGTACGACTGCATTAAGCCAGTCTTCTTGTCTTCTCCCTCTCTTCTGGGCAGGGACAAGTTTTCAGTCTCTTCTCTCTGTCTCTCTGTCTGTCTGTCTGTTTTTTTCTTTCTCTCTCTCCTTTGCATATTTGGATGAGAAGACCATGTACTTTTTGGAATGTTCTCTCATTTGTATTTACCTAAGAATGAGAACAGGATGATAGGTTTGGAGGAAGAATAACAAAGAGAAGTGATCCCTCCTCGTCACAGCCTATCAAGGGACACATGGCATCACCCTGACATCAATGGTAAGGTGAAACTTGCCATTTGATTTAGAAGCACTGTAGTTAACACTACTGGCTGTAAAAAAGTCTCCCAAACTAAGTGGTTTAAAACAATATAAATTTATTAATGCAAGTTCGAAGTATATTACGAGTGTCATGGGCTAACATCAAGAAGTCAGAAGAGCTGTGTTTTCCTCTAGTTTCTAGATTCTTTGCCTCCTCTAATTTATATGGCCTGCCTGCTTTCCATCTTCAATAATGTGCTTCCTGTGGCTGGTGTTTTCTTCTACCTCTCTCTCCATATAAGAATCATTGTGATTACATTGGGTCATCTTGCTTAATTTAAGATATTCTGATTTTAAGGTTATAAGGTTAGCATGTCTAATGTCTTTTACCAACTAATGCACTCACGATTCTAGTGATTAGGATGAAAAAAATCTAGGCTAAGGAGGGAGTTAGTTTGACAACCACAGACAGTGTCTGTGGAGTCTTCTCTGCTGTGAAGATACGACATCTTGATATGATGTGCTATCTTTGATTCTTAGCCTTCTTATCTATGAAAAGAAGTCATTGTAGAGCTTGCCTGGCAAGGATGCTTGCACAGCTAAAAGACTGAAATTAGTAGCAGCATTGTGCACATAGTCCCCAAAATGTGTAGATGAAGTTAAAGTAATTATATTATTTTCTACAGCTTCTGCCTACATGGTAGGAGGGTAATTATTCTCATTTGTGAGATATTTTCTCAATTTTATATCACTTTTTGTTTTTTATTTTTATTTTCATTTATGTGATACAGGGCCTTAGTACACGGTCGGGCTCATAGAGATTCTCCTACTTCAGCACCCCTCCCACCCCCAGTGTTAGGATTATAGGTGTATGCCACCACACCTGGTTTTGGCAGCCTGCTCAGCTTCAGTGTTTGTTTAGCTCTCTTTGATAGCTTCTAACAAGATTTTATTATAACTTTCTATGTTAGTATAACAGTAACTTGCTTCTAAATAGTGGCTTCCTATATGCATATTCATGAATGTTGCATGATAAAATGGGAAGGTGACTGTTCATGATGATTGCTTCATGCTTGCTTAGCATGTGTGATTCCCTGCATTCCTTCCCAGCATTTAGAAAAAAAATGACTTCTTGATAAAGAAGTAGAATCTTCCATGAGAAAATAGTATATTTTGTAAGAACAGGGATTTTTACTTTCATCTGAAGATTTATTACATAACAATTATTTCTGTGACACTTTTACATCTAAGTTTTCCCTCTTAGATGAAGAGAGGAAGACAAAGGAAAATGCAGCACACAAATGCAACTCCTGAGTTGCTCTTGGCTTGCAAAACTGCTGGCGTTCACTTACAGTACTCAACTTGTGCTTCAGTGTGCATCCAATCCAGTATAATAATAGCTTACTGTTGGGCATAAAATTCCTATTCTATCTATTTGATCACATGAAAACACTGAACATAAAAAGTATGTATTTAGAATATCAAACCTACAGGACTGAAATATAAAGAATAGGGTAAGAGAGTATGTATTTTACAAACCTCATCAGCTAATAAGATTGAGAGTATTGTAAGAAGGGTACCTGAGCCCTGCAATATCATAAATTTATAACTTTAAATCTTGCCTTTTCAGAGGGGAACGTGTTTACTTGTGAATAATGGTGACTATGATTTAGTGAATAGTTGGTACTTGAATAAATCACAATTGAAGCCAGAGTCGCTGTTTCACTTCTTGGTCTACGGAGGTTCAGGCATTTGTAGTAGTAGAAGCTTTCCTTATCCTTCAGATTAACAAACTCAAATGTCATAGGAAGGAAAGCCCACACTGGGTAGACTGAAAAGCCAGTTTAAATTCCTGTCCTGTCACTTCCAGTAACATAAATTTAAGCAAGCCACTTTATTACACTCATTTTTGTCTTAATGATTTTTTAAATATTTATTTATTTATTGTGTGTGTGTGTGTGTGTGTGTGTGTGTGTGTGGCCAGCTCAGCCCACCAGGGGGCGGGGCTGGCTGGCATGTGGTGCTGGGGGATTGAACCGCGGTCTCTGTACTTTGCTAAGCTTGTTCTAAGTAGGTGCTTTAGACCACTGAGCCATCTCACCAGCCCTGTCTTAATGATTTTTAATGTACTTGCACAAGATGAGTAGTTTCAAAATCTTTACCAGATTTTTTGACAACTTCCCTTTCTGAAATGAAAAGTTTTCTGAAATCCCACCCATATCAAGCATGGATGGCTCCATGGAAGCAACACAGAGAATAGGCCTTTCCAGATAGCCTTTGAAGCCTTGCAGAAAGCCAGGACATCCATCAAACAATTTTAGAATCACCAAAGGGAGAATCTTCCACCAGCGCTTGAAAGAATTTGATCTCTTATTCTCTGAAGTAACAGTCTCCACCATGGCCTTGACACGCTACTGTGTTGGCTGTTACCAGCCACGCCAGACAATGAAACCAAATCTAGTATAAATGAACTCCACAGCTAAGGACGATCAAGGCATCTTGCTGCCTCTTTAGCCTTCCCAAAACTACTGGCGCATAGCACACAACTGTTAATTCTCCATAGCTTGGCTGGGACATGAATCCCCTCTGGAGCAGCACGGCTGATTGCTGTGGTGAGCTCATGGCCAAGGTCGGGTGTAGGGTCGGGTGTAATGAAAATAAGACAGCAGTTCACCATCAAGAACAGGAGTTTCTAACTGCCAGTCAGCATTCCATTTTAATGAATGTGCGTATGCATTTGTGTGTGATAGTACCTATGCCTACACATGGAATCATTTCCAAGATTTCATCTAAAACACCAAGATATCGGACACTATCTTGCAAGTAGACTTTGGTTCCATTCTGCATATGGGGAAGACTGAGCCATCATGTAATCTTATTTCTGAATAATGCAGCTATAGAAGTTATGCTTTTATTAGCTAAGTCATTGTACCATAAAGCAGGTAATGCAATGCATGTTTTTAGGGCTCTTTTCTGCCTAACACATCCTTGTATTTTCCACAAAATTAAGCTTTTGAGATCCCCTTTTATTTTTTCAGTTTAAAAAGAAAAAAAAATATCCCTGACTTTCTTAGCTTCAGTCGGAAAAATCAAACCAAAGTACGTTGTTGTATCTTGCATGTTAGAATTAAGCACAGTGACATGACCATGTTGTATAAGCTAGCAATCGTTTCAAAAATTACATTGAAAATTTGTTTCCCTATTTACTAAAATAGATAAATAGGTAAATAAGTAAAAAGGCCACCGTTGAAAAATCTTATCAGTGGACAACAAAGTG